CGGCTAGGGATCTGCCGCCTGAGTGGGCGGCGCAGTATCCCGCATACAAATCTTCGAGAACTTCTTTCCCCTTTTCCGGGGTAATACACTTTAGTAAGGGCTTCAGAAAACCCGCCTTGAAGAGCTCTCCGTCTTTTATCTCGAAGTTTGCAGCACGCTTTTTCAGCACGGCTGCTTCCTGGGGTGAATCAGGAAGCGTGCGGTCTGTGAGATACGCTCGGATGCCATCCATCCAAGTAAAACTTCGGTCTAGAATTCCAATGGGCTCGTCATCAGATATGCTTCGCTTTTCCATTATTTCCCAAAAGACTGACCGAGGCGTATCACAAGAGGAGGAGGATGCCAATTTTGACAAAGCATCCGCTTGATTGTTCTTAGACTGGGGCACTTGACTTAGATGAAATTCTTCAAGTGTCCCCGCTTCAGCCTTGATCGCCTGCAGATACTTAATCATCGCCGGATGGGTGGCTTCAAACTCACTATGGTATTAGCTAACGACCAACTAAGAGTCTGAGTAGGCGTCAATTTTTGTTTCCCCTTCCGCCTTACACATGCGGATACCGACTAGTAGAGTTTCATATTCCGCATCATTGTTTGAGGCCCGGAACTTAAACCACAGTACATACTCATATTTGTCCCCTTCCGAGGATTAACAGATTATGCCTGCACCACAGTCGTTCATAGTAGAGCTCCTGTCTACATGCACCTTCCAAACCTGATCAAGGTTATTCGGAGAAACCGGCCTTGTCATTTTGACAATGAAGTCGGCAAACGCCTGACCCTTCACTGCCTTTCTTGGTTCGTAGGTGATTTCAAGACTTTGCATTTCAATAGCCCGTTTGAGCATTCTTCCAAATGAGTCCAAGGTTGTCATTGGGCGCTTGAGGGGCTGATCTCTGTAGATCACCACCAGATGCTCCAAGAAGTATGGTTTCAACTTCTTAATAGTCATGTAAAGAGCGAGGCCAAAATTTTCAACCATGGGGTACCGGAGTTTGGCATTCCTGAGCACATGGCTAATGAAATAGACTGAGAGTTGATTGCCGTCTCTCTCAGCAAGGAGAACAGCACTGAGGGCATGATCTGAAATGGCTAGGTACATGAAAAATGACTCATTTGGCAGAGGGCTAATGAGCCTCGGCAAGGAGTGCAAATGCTATTTCAATTTCTGAAAGGTCGCCTCAGCATCATCTCCCCATTCAAATCTAGTCTTGTTCTTGATTGCCTGGAATAAGTAGAGGCATTTTTCACCTGATCGGATGAGGAATCTCCCAAGCGCAGCCAGGCAACCGGTAAGACTCTTAGCTTCCTTACGGTGTGGGGTGACTTCATGTCAATCACCGCCTGTATCTTCTCGGGGTTATCCTCTATCCCCTTTGATCAATCAGGAATCTGAGAAACTTCCCAGAATCAACACTAAAAACACACTTTTGGGATTTAACATGACCTTATGCCGCCTGAGTGTGGTGAAGGTTTCTCGGTGATCAGCAAGGTGATCCGTCTGTAACTTGGATTTGACTATCATGTCATCAATATATTTCTCTACATTCCCCCCAATCTGATTAACGAAGACTGTATTAATCATCCATTGGAAAGTAGCCCGCGCATTCTTCAAGCCAAACGACATAACATCATAGTAGAATAACCCCTGATCAGTGACGAAGGCCATCTTCTCTTGATCTTTTTTCCGCAGGGTTATCTGATGGAAGCAAGAGTAGGCATCTATGAAACTCATCAAGGCATGACCGGCTGTAGAGTCGACCAGACTGTCGATCTTTGAGAGCGGATAACTGTCCTTTGTACTTTCCTTATTGAGGTTTGTGTAATCAACACACATACACCAGGTACCATTCGGCTTCTTTATAAACACTACATTCGTAACCAAGTCGAGAAAGTTACATGGACGATTGAACCCAGCGTCCTGCAGCTTTTTTACTTCGGCAGCTGCCGCCTGACTTCTTTCCTCGCCATGGTTTCTTTTCTTTTGCCGGATAAGATTCTTTTTTGGATGCACGACGAGTTTGTGGACTGCGAGATCCAGGTTGATGCCTGGCATCTCCTCCACTTCAAAGGCAAAAATGTCTTTGAATTCTTTCAGTAGATGATGCAAGTATGCACCAATCCTTTCAAAAGCAGGCGTCCCCACCTTAACCGTCTGCTCTGAACGGTTGTCGTCCAGAGGGATATCAATGTGCTCACCAGCCGGCTGGGGACAAAGACCATCTGATCGTTCCCCGGTCAGTGATTGCTATTTCTTTTCCTTCTTCACCTCCACCAGCGTTTCAGTATTTCTTTTCTTTACGGCTCTTGGAGGGGGAGAATCAGGGTCCTTGAAATTTTCAAGGTCTATTGGCTCCTTAAGCTGACCAGCTGCATAGAGAGTCGGCTTAACGTCTGAGAGATAACACTCTCTTGTCGTCTTCTGATCCCTGTTGAGGGATCTAACAGTGCCATACCCCTTTCTTACTTGAGAAGCATGAGAGCTGGGATGATGACGGCCTTGCACTCATTCAAAGTGGGTCGGCCAAGAATGATGTTGTAGGCGGTTAGCTCTTTAACCACCAGGAATCGGACGACCATGTGCCGCCCTTGTCCCTTCTCCCCCAGCCGGATGAGAATGTCAATTTGTCCGACAAGGTGCACGACTCCTCCCCCAAAGCTAACTAATGGGTGGGAGACGTCGCGCAGACCGTCCTGCTTGTAATTAAGCCGGGACAGACACTTGTAGCTGATGAGATCATAAGAGCTACTCGTGTCTATGAGGATCTGGCCAAACAACTGGTTGGCGACCTTGCATTCAATGATGACTGGGTCGTCATGCGGTTAGAGAACTTTGCCTCAATCCTTCTCAGTGATGAGGACGTCTAGGAATATGCAACTTAAGGACGCCTGTCCATCATCAACTGAATGGATCATCCTCTTCAGATGATCCTTGGTGCCCCGAATGGTCGGCTCACCGCTTGCGAATCTGCCTGCTTTGGTGTAGACCAAATCATTGTCAGTATCCGAGCTACTAGTAGGCTGGACAATTTTTGACGACTGCCCCGGATTCGTCTTAGAAGCCGCTTTGGACTTCAAGACATATGACTTCAGCAAGCCCTTGTCAGCCAAACGGTCTAACGTCCACTTGAAACTGTAGTAGTCGTTGGTGTCATGGCCCACCTCCTGATGGAAGTGGCAGAATTTATTCTTGTTCCTCGACTGAACGAAACTCTTTATAGGATTCGGCTTCTCAATGGTCAGCCGGTCCTTCACCTTTGTAAAGATAGTGCAGAAGTCTTTATTGAATTCATGCCGTGAGACATACGGTTTGAATTCTTTCTTCTTTTTGGACGGCTGATCAGATTGTTCGACCTCCCAAACTTCTTTTCTCTTTTTGCTCTCTTCAGCTTTCTAAGTCGGCTGAGCAGACCGACTTTCCTTTTGTTTATCGGCTTCTTTGAGTCAGAATAATAGCTGGACGAGCAGAGGTCGGTAGCTTGAATAAAGCTCTCCACCTATATCAACGCCTCTTGTAGGGTAAAAACCCTCTTACGGACAAGGTCGAACTTAAAGGTCGACCCGTCCTTCAGACCCTTGAAGAAGTCTGTATAGGCTACCTCGTCAGACAGCCCCTAGATTTAAATTCTTACCAGGTTGAACAGCCTGACATAGAAGCGGAGCCCTTCTCTATCTCCCTGCCGGATGGTGCTCAAGTCGAGACTTGTCTTTTTGGCAGGGATGTTCATCGAGAAGTTGGAGGCAAACAGGAAGGCAAGCTTCTTGAAGTTATCGATGCACCCGGCTGGCAGGTTGCCAAACCATTGTTAGGCAATGCCCTTTAATGTAGTCGGGAAGCACCGACACCACATAACATCCTCTAGCCCTTGCATGTGCATGAGGTTGGAGTAGGCCATGAGGTGGTCCTCCGGGTTGGTGGTACCATCATAAGCACCTACCAACACATTCTTAACCTTGGCTGCCTGTGTGGCTTCGGTTATTTCCTAAGTGAATGCAGAAGTTTGTTCACCAAGTTTGAGCAGTCGGAGCTGCCAGCCCAAAGGTTGGACGTTATATGCCGCCTGACCCCCAGAGAGGGCCGGCTGCATGAAATGAGGAGAATACGGGTCGTAGACCATAGGGGGTACATACGGTTCATTCTTGATCATCTTAGGGTCATAGTGGACAGTATTACCGCCTGTATGGCTCTCATGCAAGGATTGAGCATTCCCTGCGGATGTATTCTTGAATCTGTTTGGAAAGCTCGAAGTAGAGGCTGACTTAGACAGCTGCTGACACTACTACAAAAAGCGTGTTTTCTAGACGCTTTTTAGGCCTTTTTAGCGTCGAATTTTTTTTCTCGACGCTGCTAAAAAGCGTCGAAATTACGTGAGTTAAAAATTTTTATGGACACAAAAAATCTCGACGCTTTTTTGTGTCCTAACTAATATACGAAGCGCCGAAAATTACGTATTTCGCGCATTATCCCAAATGTGTGTATTTTTAGCAACGCTTTTACATGTCCACATATTCAAATTTAGAGGCGCTTTTTGTTGTCTTGCGTTTATTGATATCAGCCTGTGGTATGGCGAGAAGCTCTTTGAAATTTGAAAATGTGCAAATATGTAGACATTAAAAAGCGTCTAGAATTATTTTTAAGCGTTTTTTTTCCTTTTATTAAATTATTACCATCATAAATACATTATAGTAATTTAAATTTATCATAAATTAAATTGAATTAATAACATTAAAATAAAAATAAACAAATATTCTATATAACTAGATTAAAAAAAAACAATAATTAATCAACAACAATAAGAGTACGTAGTTAATTACCAAATTTATAAAAGAAAACATCAACACAGTACAATCATTAAAAATAAAAAGTCGCATATTATAGTAGCTTGTCCCTAAATAAATACATCACTCATATAAGACTAAAAACCAAAATAGATATATGATGGCCATATTGATCGATATAGTCGCTTGTTGATGCTCAAGTGTCCCGGCCTATTCTTTTGTTGCACCTACATTGCCTTTTCCAATCTTCAAAAAAAAAAATACAAAGTATAAATTAGTACATTACACAATATAGGCTAAATATTCAACATGTTGTATTTAAACATAGAATTGTGAGTTAAACATAGAAATATAAATGAACAAAAAAAAGCCAAAAGGTCTTTCATCATGAGTTCTTGACTAGATCAGTATTGCGGACAAATCCAAAGCTTAACTGAACGAATCATGGATCAAGTAGTACAAAAGCTGGCACAGAATTCTATAAGCAGTACCTTCAGTTACATCCAGCAGTATACAAAACAGTAATTGTCAACACATATTGTTAAAGAAACAATGGATCTAATTTACAAAGACAATACACGAAAACAAGCAGAATAGCCCCATACTCAATACTACTTTGCTATCCAGATAAGTTTAAGGTTTCTGATGTTAATTCTTGCTTTGTTTAGAGAGGTTACTTCTTAAGTGTCCCAATTTAGAAAGTGATCATGCAACTGATTGTGTAAAATCGTTGCACGAGGGTATTGAAATACATGTATATTTTGTGATTATGCCTGTCTACTGTATCACTGTTATTTCTACCTTAAGTTTAAGCTGCATGGTCAGTACCCTGGTAGCATTAGTATGGAGCTTTAGCGGATGTAATTGTATGAAGTTGAGACCATTTTCTGTAGCTTGTTAATCCTAGGTGCTAGGATTGCATAAACTTATTTAGTTATGGAGCTGACATCCATGCTGAAATCCTTGCAGATTGAAAATGCTCCATCAGAAAGCCATTTACTAAGCAAACGGATGGTTGATGGATCCAAGAAAGTTAGAGTTCCTCACATTCTCAGCCAGCAGGTAATTCTTACACTATATTACAGAAAATACAAAGTTATTCATGGTTTTTATGCTTCTACTACTGGTGCTTAATTCTTTTCTAGTCACCATTGTTTATCTTGGGTGAGCTAACTCACTAAACTAATTTAAAGTGAAACCAAAACTTGCATATTTCTTTTCCTTTGTCAAGCTGTCATGAACTTCAAATGTTCTCCAATATACATCTAGTCTTTGTTTTCTGAACTATTTGCTTCTATCCTAGCCTCAGAAGGGCAGCCAAGCAGCTTATTTAGGTTGTAACTTTATTTTACTTAAAAGGTTTCATCCAAAGCTTAGGCAGGGAGCAGGACAACAAGCAGCAGCGAAGACAAGCAGTATGAATGGGAGTATTCTAGAGTAGAGAACCTTAGGCAGATTATTATTATTACACACACACACACAAGCCCTGAATTTCACACACACACACACACACAAGCTTTGACTCTCACACACAAACACACACAAGCTCTGACTTTCACACACACACACACACACAAGCTTTGACTTTCACACACACTCACACACAAGCTCTAAATTTCACACACATACACAACCATTTTGAATTTCAGTTCTGATTTCAAATCTGATTTTCAATTCTGAACTTCAGATCTGAATTCAGTTCTGGATTTCAGTTCTGATTTCAAATCTGATTTTCAGTTTTGAACTTCAGATCTGAATTTAGTTTTGGATTTCAGTTCTGATTTCAGTTATAAAGAGAAATGTGACTTTGTTACCTGATGCTAGCCTTTCCTAAGAATTCAGATGCTTTGTTTAAAAGATCCGGAGATGCATTCCCTTGACGAACTGCACCTACAATATGAGAAAATTGTCCAACAAGCGCTTTAAGAAGAAGACTATTGTAGCCGACCCGGTCTTTCAGCTTTTCATTTTCTTGAGATAGTGTATCATTTTTTTTGTGTAAAGCATTCACTTATTCTTTAACACTATCCATCACAATATTCCTCTTTTGAATTTTTCCATACCCTTCCTTCCTTAACACACCACGTACTCCGAAAATTTCCCCCTCTTTAACCCCTAATCCGTAACCCACAGGACGATCTGGAATCTCATTGCCATACATAGTTTGCTGAAATGCTTCATCTTCAAGCTCTTGTTCAAACATCTTAGGGTGCATCATCCTCAGCTCTTCAACCTTAGCTTTAACATCATCCTATACCAACATTTAGAAGTAATGTAAGACCACAAATAACACAAAATCACACCACAAAATCTACACAATATGATACCAGAAATCTGTCACAAAACCATACCACAAAATCTTCAGTGATTGTGTCAGAAAGAAATCTTCCGTCTTTACCCGTATAGGTTTTAATCCACAGCGCTAACAAGCTCATTTTTTGTCCAATATCATCTTCTTATAAATAATAAGGCAAAACAAGCATTAAATATGTGTACAATAGTATATAACGCATATAACCTGGCTTTGCTCTTACTAACATCCTAAGTAAATATAAAATGACATATGTATTCCATACATAATCAGCTTGTTGGTTTGCAAAACTTTTAGAGCCAGATGTATGAATCTGATTTTGAGAAGCTCGTGCCATTTTACCGCATGCTTACATAGTCTGCAATCACATTTTCAGATTTTTTAGTTAGAGATTAATTACAGCTTAATAGAGTAAACAATAAGGTAAATATTGTCCTTACTTTCTCGTAATCCGAATCCCAATATTTTACCAACTTAACCTAGTTACTACTGGTAATTCCATGTGGCACATTATTACAAATATCATCCAATTTCTTCTCCAATGGCTTGTAATAAATCAGTTTCAGAGAGTATTTGAACTGCCTACAACATTTATTGGCATGCTTTAAAGCTTGGTTGTCATATTCCGCACCAGGAGGAATCACAAAATGGTCCTTCAGTAAAAATATTAGTTAAAAATATAAATAAGTAATCAATTAGAAGTAAGAGACCGGCTAAGTATGTGTGTTTAGGCAATGACAGGGGATATATTAGGGATGAATATACTTACTCTTATGTCTTTAATAATTTTCCCTTTAAAATGCTTGTCGATTGCATGCCAATCTTTTTCCTCAACTGGACAATGTGACTCCATCTTCGCAATCATACTAATGAATTTAACCAAAATATGTCCACCCTTCCTAATTGGCTGGCATAAATCATTGAATTCGACATAGTACTGGACGCCGTTATTACTCCATACGTCAATTGGCAGAATAATACCACTTACTAACGTAGTATTACCCTTAGCATCTAAATAAAACAACAAAATTAAGTTAAAAGAAATAATCAGTTTAAGTGGATTAGCAAGCAAATTAAGTGGCAAGCAGCAAGTAATATTATCAGTTATACCTCAAACCAAATAGAAAAAGACTATTGAACATTCTGGAAATTTCAGAGCTAGTAATTTGTAAGGCAACCCTTCCAAACATCTTAAAATTTCATATTGCTCTAATTCTACCAAATGGAATTCGGCTGAAATTTTTAACAGAAGTAGTACAGGATCTATGTAGCATTTACCTGATTTTTATACCGTAAATGAGCATGTGTTATTAGTGTTGTTTGTCAAGGAATAATGAGTATATTAGAATGTAATACATAGAAAAGAATACAAGGATGATGATTCTCAATTAGCATGTATGGTAAACTGAGCTCCTGCCTTTGTTTAAATATCAATTATGTAAGCCTTTAATTTGCATAATTTCTGCTTTTATTCCTTATATTATGAATCAGTGAAGCAATGTATGCATTGATGCATTTTTTGTCTCTCTCAAAATACAACTACCTCTGATCTGTTACTTAAAATTTATATTCAAACAAAACCTATGTTATTGTTATCATTATGGTAGGACTTTTTTTTTCTTGAACTAGCATAACGTGTTCGGTTCCAATTGGTTATGATAGATATATTGATTCATAAAACCTCCCCAATCCTCCGGACCAACAAAACACAGCATGAAATTAGCACTAGCGAAAGGTATAAAGGTAAACACTTATTGCAAGCATAACTTCAATATAAGTTATGAAGACAGTCAAGCCAAAATCCAATAAGTGCACAAGTTCGACATATTTCTGACTGCTCTTACTCTCATTTACATAACACAATTGCATACATGTTACTGTGGTTTTTAAAAAAATCTACTGATTCTACACCATACACTTGCCTTTATAACAATCTCCACAGGACTATAGCCCTTTTTATTTATAGTGCCTAGCTATTGGTGACATAAATTATCCATTTGCTTTGTGCTTTCAAGTAAGCTTAATACATTTACATTGGTATTTTGATAAATAGATGATCCAGATAGTCGGAAAGTTATTGAAATTGTTGTATAAACAATCAATTGAATTATCATATTTCATTACATCATGATTTCATTGTTCATGTTTTATCTTTGACAACTATCCTAGATTGATATAACGCTCTCTGCTGGGCATTTTTTTTATTTTTTTTATATACCATTTGCTTTTACTTAAAAGGAAAGAAAGTAATGTGAAGTTTATTTGTTTATGATGGGGGGAGTACATGCAATTTGTTGTTTGCTAAGACTCTAAGAGTGTCGAATACATCTCTACAATTGCATGTACTCATCTACTCTACCAAAGCTATTCACAAACACCCCCACAATAACAACAAGCAGTAGCAACAGGGCAGAAACACACCACAACAACAACAAGCAGCAGCAGACAACTTTAATAAAAATATTTACCTATGGTTAGAACCTCCTCCTTGTCGTCAAAATCTATGTTTGCAGGCCAATCCGGAAGTGCTTTTAGTCGTAAAGAATTAGATTGTTTCGGGATCTTTTCTGATTCTTTTCCACTGTGGAATGTTAGGTGGGATATTAGGTGAGACTTTCGATGAAACTTTTGCTGGATATTTTTTCTGTTAACTTGATGTAGTTGCTTCTTTGACTGAACTCGATGTTGAACCAGGAGGGTTATTCCAAATGGATCCTAAACTATTAGGTGGTTGTTGGTCAGATTTTGTAGTGGTAATGGGTGGAGAAAAAGGTCCCCATTTGTCATCTTTAAGTATCTCAGTCTGTAGTGACTTAATAGCTTGTTTTTTGGTGGGTTGTGAAACAACTTCAGTAGCAGATGACTCACGTGCAGTAGTTGTAATTGGTGACTGTGCTAACAGTGGATCATGCGACTTAGCTGTGGCAGCAAGTATTTCCCTTGCTCTCTTGCTTCGATAAGTCATCTTTTACCTGATAAAACCATAAGATAAGCTACATTAGTCTGTCAAAACTGATATAAACACAAGACAATATATGTACATCTAAAATATACATATGTGAATACACACACATCAGTTAACCAAAGAAACTGCATGCCAAGTTAGAAAACAACAGATTCACAAAAAACTATGCATAATGTATCCTGGTTGTAAATTTAGGGCATTAGAGACAGTTGTTCTGAAAACTTGAAACGGAGTTGGTAATTCAGGTTTAAAACAATCCATAAAGCACAAAAGAAGCAATCATCTTCAGCCAAAAGTTCCAAGTAGTCACTGTAATAAAGATTTCTAGCACTTCTAGGCTTCTAATACACACCATAATCCATATGTTTAATATATAAAGCACCAGCAAGTATAAATAAAATGCATGAAGATAGGTAAACACATCAAGAAAGATTAACAAAAGAAAAAGAAAAACAAGAAGCACAAGAATTTTGATACCCCTGAATTTGGTAAAATATTGAAAGAAAAAGAAAAACAAGAAGCACAAGAAAAACAGGTAAATACATCTACAAAATAACCCAACACTGTAGCCCATGAATTTTGCAAATACACACACACAAGCTCTGAATTTCACACACTCACACACACACACAAGCATTCTGAATTTCACCTCTGATTTAAGTTCTGATGTTCAAAGCTGAATTCAAAACTGAATTCCAAAACTGAATTCAGATTTGAATTTCAGTTCTAGAATTCATTTCTAATGTTCAGAGCTGAAATCAAAACTAAAATCCAGAACTGAATTCAGATTTGAATTTCAGTTCTATTTTCAGTTCTAGAATTTAGTTAACAAAAACAGAAATTAAGTTACAAAATACAAACTTTGATGAATTAGAATAACTAAATGAAATATAAAAATACACAACCATCCAAATTTATGAACTCAAATCTATAATAAATTATAAAAGTTGTAAACAAATTATTCAGGTATATCAAACAAGTCCCTAGGCTTAGTTTTCACAACATGACACCACCCTTTTTGTATCTCATCCTCAATATAAAAAACTTGTTTTGCTTGAGATGAGAAAACAAATGGATCATCACGCAAAAATCAACCAGTGTGCATCAACTTTGAGAAATTGATACAAACACTTCCATTCGGATTTGTTTTGATACCCCTACTGATATCGACCCAATCACAACGAAACAATACAACCTTATACAAACCATAATAATCTAATTCCAAAATTTCTTTGAGTTTTCCATAATATTCGTGACCCTCTGCTTCCACCATGATTCCTGAATTCTAAGTTACTCAAAATCTCTCACGATCCACAATATCAAATTTGTAACCATTGATAATAACACTTTTCATCCTTTTCCCGCGGTTACTCAAGCCACCGGCTAAGGCTTTTCTTAACTTTCCATCTATCGTGCTATCATCTAACTTATGGACCTATAATTCGAGAATAATAAAAATAGAATTAGAAAGTTGTATAATATGAAAATAAAAAGACCCTATATGTAAAAGCATATGACCTGGCTTTTCAACCAATCTGCAAATTCATCAATTATCCACTGATTTTCAATAGATTCATTAGCTTGACTTCCTCATCAGCTTGACTTCCTCCAACGTCATTCTCTTGCCTCTTTAGTTTTAGGAACTCACTATCGAGATTGTAAATTTTATGTTAGTAACAAGTATATATTGGACACTTTAACTAAACACATAATGCTACTTACTTGAGCACCGGGTTTAGTTCATCAGAATGAAGTAAAACATAGCGATGAGCTTGCTTTAAACTTCTATTATCCAAACGGACATTTTCTTTCTTTCCAACAACACGACCATACTCATTCCTTCTAGGTCTATTGAACATAGTCTCAACACTTTCTAAATATCTCGAACAAAATGCAATTGTCTCCCAAAAAGGTAACCTTCTGCTATAGATCCTTCCGGTTGCGCTTTATTGCTTACATGAGATTTCAAAAAGGCGAAGTACCTTGAATTACAGTAACGATTTTGTATGTGAATGTGAAAGAATAGGAAAAATTATTATATAAAAAATTAAATAATACAAATAAAAAGAATAATAATAATAATAATAATAATAATAATAATAATAATAATAATAATAATAGTAATAATAGTAATAATAATAGTAATAATAATAATAATAAGTACCTTTCAACAGGATACATCCATCTATAATGAACTGGTCCGCCTAGTCTGAGCTCTTCCACTAAATGAATTAGTAG